TGCAGCGCTGGCTCAATTTCTGCGCCTCTCGTTGTTCCAAAACGTGCTCCCGCTGCAGCGCCGACGTTTTCGATCCTTTTTAAGAAGCCCCAAATCTAGAAAATGATCCCCGGCAAAAACATTGGAGGTGATTACACATCCGGTGTCGAGTCGTTGATTTTTGGGGCCGCAGAAAGCCCCCCCCCTTTTGGGCGGCGTCCTTTTCCGCACAGGATTCCCGGGAGTTTGGTTTTCATTTATGTTTTTGAAAATCCGAGTCTTTCCGGTCCTTCAGAATGTTGCTCCCGCTGCAGCGTTCGTCCTATTTTCCGCGCCGCTGGTCGTTCCAAATCGTGCTGGCGCGGGCCGCTGCAGTGCAACGGTACCCCGCGTCCCCAATGTTCCTCTTAGAGTAACAGGGTCAGTGCGAAGCCCGATTCGTGAGAGTACAATGAAGTAGCTCATGGAAAGGGCTATGGGAGGGAAGGGTAGGATGTCAGATGTTGACGCGAGCGCACCTAGCTTGTCCCCCTCCCCCTCCCCCTCCTCCTCCTCCTCCTCCGCCTCCTCCTCCTCCTCCTCCTCCTCCTCCTCCTCCGCCTCCCCCTCCTCCACCTGCTCCTGCTCTCCTCCTCCTCCTCCTCCTCCTCCTCCTCCTCCTCCATCGCCCTCGGCGCGGGGCGGTCCACGCGGGGCCTCGCCCTCGGCGCGATCACCTCGCCCTCGGCGGCAGCATAGCAGGAAGCTTCCCCCCTCTGCGCCTCTCCGTCCTCGGTGCTGGGGCGGGCCAGGAAGGGGCCTCGCCTTATGATGTTTTAACCTGCTTTAGCCTTGGCCACCAGAAAGAATGTCGAATACCAATAAGGCACCGAAACTTGAGGGTTTTCATGTGTCGGACCCTGGGAGACACTCGTTCAACTCTGTTTCGATACTTTTTCGATACTTTTCCAGGTGCTCGAAATTATTTTTGGGATGCGGTCCTTAAGTATGATGGGAGCAACATAACCCTCACCCCCCTCGCCTTCGGCTCACCTGGGCCTAAAAGTGACCCTTCGCCAGGGAGACCTTTGATGCGGGCCCAGTGGCACAGACCCCCTTGCGTTGTGACAAACATGACGACGGGAGGTTTTTCGCTATGTTCGGCCTCCGGGGGTCCTTCCCGGGCTCCGGGGCCGTCAAACAAAAATTCAGGATTATCCCGGCAAAGCAACCTAACAGCGATGTGTAGAAGCATATCTGAAAGCATTCCCCTTAAGATTCAGATGAAAATCCAAGTGTAGAATTCTGCTGTTCTCGCAGTCGTAGTCGCATTCGCGATGACAGTCGCAGCGGCAACGGCAGTCGCAGTCACAGCCTCAACCTCAGCCTGCCTCACCCTCAGCCTCAGCCTGCCTCAGCCTCAGCCTGCCTCAGCCTCAGCCTCAGCCTGCTTCAGCCTCAGCCTCAGTCTGCCTTCAGCCTCGGCCTCAGCCTGCCTCAGCCTCAGCCTGCATCAGCCTCAGCCTCAGCCTCAGCCTGCCTCAGCCTCAGCCTGCCTCAGCCTCAGCCTCAGCCTGCCTCAGCCTCAGCCTGCTTCAGCCTCAGCCTCAGTCTGCTTTCAGCCTCAGCCTCAGCCTCAGCCTCCTCAACAGCCTCAGCCTGCCTCGCCGTCAGCATCAGCCTGCACTCAGCATTCAAAATGTGGCCCGGGAATAAAGTTCTGGGAACTTGAAGAGCACGAAGTGGCCTACAGTTGGCTCCGGGCATCCAAAATGTGGCCCGGGAATGGAGTTCTGGGAACTCGAAGAGCACGAAGTGGCCTACAGTTGGCTCCGGGCATTCAAAATGTGGCCCGGAATGGAGTTCTGGGAAGTGAAGAGCACGAAGTGGCCTACAGTTGGCTCCGGGCATCCAAAATGTGGCCCGGGAATGGAGTTCTGGGAAGTCGAAGAGCACGAAGTGGCCTACAGTTGGCTCCGGGCATTCAGAATGTGGCTCGAAAATGGAGTTCTGGGAGGTCGAAGAGCACGAAGTGTGTGACTGTTTGCGAAAAACGAATGCGGCGGCAGCCGCGCCGGGTCCCGCCCCGGGTCCCGCCCCGACCCCCTTGTGAAGTCATCTGCTGCTCTCTTTTGGGACCACTAGAAACCTATCAGCAAAAGCTGTTAGGTAATGAACAACCGGTTCCGGGGAAAGGGTCCAGACCTCTGAGGTTCGACGTTGTGAGCAACAAAAGAAAACACGACGTCGGGAGTCTGAGTGGGGTGCTCTCATCGCCGAACGCGAAGCGATAACATGGGCTTGGGCGCCCAGGTTTGGCCACCCCGCATCCCCTGTTCAGCCGCGCACAAAGGACCACTCTTGCCCAGGGTCACTCCTGCGTGGAGCCGATTCGGCGCATCATATCGCCTTCGGCGGAAGCCGGCGGAAGTAGAGCGGCGGCGGGTCCGCTGGCGGAAGCTCGGCGGAGTGCGGCGGAAGCAAACGGGAGGCGTTGCCATCACTGGGCCCAGGGATTTTGGAGCCGGGCATGTGGAGGGGGGAGAGGGGAGGAGGGATGAGGCCGAGCAACGCATCGCACATAATTGTTGGTTCTCGGGTGTCGCCGAGCAACAGCGGTAATCAGGCAGCGTGAGCCCACGGGGGTTCGTGATCTAGAGTCCCCTGGAACTATTCACGCGCGTTGCACCCCCCATATCGCAGTCATAACCTTTTCAGCAGCGCAGTCCTTGGCATCTGGGATGCCGACGAAGCTCGGGCACAAGCGTCGCGGGTCCCCAAGCGGACTTCGACATCCCTCGCCCACGTCCCATACCCCTTGTAATCACTCCTGCTCGGCCTCCTCTTCTTCTTCCTCCTCCTCCTCCCTCCCTCCCTCCCTCCCTCCCTCTTCCGTAGCCATTTTGGCTCATGCTTTTCCGTAGGCCCCCTGCTCCGACTTTCCTCGGCGTACCCTGCGACCCCAACCCGTCGTGTCGGGGGCAACGCGGCGGGCGTGAGGGAGTTAGGAGCAGGGCTTTGGGCTTGTGGGCATGGCGCGGGCGGGGTCGCTGCACAGCGATCCTGGATGCGAGCGGCAGCGACGAGCGGGACTGCTTGACGGCGATCCTGCAGGCGGTCGGTAGCGGCGATCGCGGGCCGAGCGCACGGCCGCTCGGAGGCGAGCGCTGGTGGCTGCTGACAACGGCCTGGAGTCGGCCAGGGCCGAGTGCGACCGCCTCCGCGACCAGGTGGGTGCGGCGGAGACGGCGCTCGACGCAGTCGTCGGCTGCAGCGAGGTCGGCCAGCGCTTGCGGGGCGCTCCTACCCGCGCTGCAGGCCATGCTGCAGGGCCGCGCGCCGACGTGGCTGGAGGTGCTGCGGCGCAACGTCGCCTTGCACGCCGATTCGCAGGACGTTGACGTGTCCCTGGCGACTGCCGCTACACTGCGCAAGGCCCAGCACGGACCACGGCTGGAGGCGCGGATTTTCTCGGAGACTGACGCCCCCTGAGGACGTTGCCTCGACCCTCTCCGCTGGTGCCGCGCCCTTCGTGCCCGGACACATCTACTCGGAGTACGGCCTGCACGGCGACGATGTCGATCACCTCCTGGCCGCGCTGGCACAGGAGTCGTTGCCGCCCTTCGTCCAGGAGGGCTTCGTGGAGCTGTACCCCGCGGGTGAGCCCGAGCGTGGAGGACAGGAGGAGCAGAAGGGCGAGGAGCATGCTGTGGTCGATGCGGCCCCTCCTGATGCTCTGCCCTCCCTGGCCACCGGCAGAGTCACCGAGCTGAAGCGCCTTGTGGATGAGGCCAGGGAGCAGCTTGAACAAGTTGCTATCAAGATTGCTAACGGTGACGAGTCGGACGCTACGCAGCACGAGCTCCGGACGGCCGCCGACCGCTTCACAGACCTCCGCCGACCGCTTCACAGACCTCGAGGACCTGCTGGCTCACGCCCAGGCTGCGGCGACCACCGACGCAGTCGGCAAGCTGGACCCTGCTGCCGTGGCGGGCTGCGGCCCAGCCATGCTGCACGTGGAGGTCCCCGAGGTGCTGACGCACAGCACCGACAGGGCTGAGCCTGGCCCTCCCCGTGAAGGGGCTTGGAAGGCATACGAGCTCGACCTGCGCCGCCGATGCCAGCAGGGGTGCGAGATCCTTCGTGCTGGGCATTGCAAAGGGTGTGGGCATCAGCTGCGACAGCTCCGAGGAGGCGAGGCGCCGTCCGAGGTTGTGTGCTGCCTGTGTGACGACCTTCATCCACCTGATGATGGAGGTATCTTCCGCTGCTGCTCCTGCCAATGGGAGTGTGGTGTTGCATGCATGGCGGCCGAGCTGGACGGAGACCTTACGGACGAGTTCGATTCGGATTCCTGCAGTCCGTGATGTCCTTCCGCGGGGAGCAGCTGGTGGTGTGCACGTACGACCGCCGGGGCCGCTTCGGCCCGTGCGCCATGGAGTGGTTCTTCAAGGTCGGCGTGGGCCGAGCCTGGGGTTAAACCCAGGCTCGGCCTACGCTCAGGGAAGGTCGCCCCGCCCGTGCCCCGAGCGCGGGCGGCGGCGGCTCCGACGGGACACTGCGTTCCAATTTGTATCCTCGTATCCTCGTATCCTCCCTCCCTCCCTCCTCCCCCTTCCCTCCTCTTCTCCTCCTGTCCTCATCCATCGTTCGATGTCGCTGGGGCTCTGGCGCCCACGGCTCGCACGGCGCCGCCTGCCCTGTGAGGGGGCGGGGGGGTTCTTGGCAGCTCGCCCTCCCCCGGAATGGAATTTCACACACCGGTTCGCTGCGGCAGACCCAGTTTGTTTGGATTCTTCCCTTGTGGGGATAGGTTGTCCCTTAGTTGGTGAAGTGTTGTTTTAGACACCTCTTCGAAGCTTCCTGGAGGTTTCTTCGAGGCTAATTCGAGGCACTTGTTTTTGTAAAAAAAGGTTTCTTCAAGGTTTCTAGCTGATTGCAGGACGATGCCCGAGAGGTGTCCGAAAAACTCCAAAACTTCCTGGAGGTTATGAGAGGCTTCTGGTGGGCCTGCTGGAGTCTTCTCGGTGTTCTCGATGGTTCCCGAGAGAATAGCTGAACGGTTTCGAAGAGTGAGGGCCTGAGGATGTTTGAGAGGCTCGCTAGAGACTTCTATAGCAGATGTTTGAGATATCGTTTCGAAGCTGACCCGATGCTTCTGAGAAGACCCCCTCGCTTCTTCAAGATTTCTTAGACGTTTCGTAAACGTAACTGGTCTTCCTTTGCGAAGCTGTCATCGCTTGATAGGCCTCCTGTGTTCGCGTAGGGGACGGCTCGGGGGTCCCGAGCCGCCGCCGAGACCGACTATCTCAGCCAGCGCACCAGCCCGCCTAACCAGCCAACCCGCCTACCCGCCGATATCCGCCATGTTAGCTCAAGCTGGTCAGTCAGGGTTGGCCAAGCTGGTTCGATGCCATGATGTACAAGAGCTCTGCATGGTGGCTGTCGCAAAGGAGAGACTGCGCGGGTGGTTTCTGATTTGAATCACGAGGACAACGGTGTTTTGTTGAAGAAGTTCACGAAGGGCACAGTGCAGGGCCATTCCAGTTCTGATGTCAAGTCTTGTCGATCGCTTTTGTGGCTGGAGCTGCGCGCCACAGTCCATGCTGGTTTGAACGACGTCACCCCTAATATGATATCCAGGACGTGCCCAGTGTCGCCTAAAACTGTTCGCGCTGACGAGACGATCTGGGCGGCTCTGATCTAAATCAGAGCACACCGGTGCGCTGTTGGAGACGTTCGCGAAGGGCACAGCGCAGGCCCCCTCAACTTCTGAGGACACGTTTTGCATTTCGGCCACGTGGGTGAAGCTGCGCGCCGCAGGCCAAGCTGGTTTGCACAGCGCCACTCCTGGCATGATGCCCATGGCGTGCCCAGTTTTGTCTCGGGGCTCTCGCGTTGGAGAGACGGCCCGGGCGCCCTCGAGCCTCAATCGCAATCGCAGCGGTGGCTCGTTGAAGAAGTTCGCGCGGGGCAGAGCGCAGGGCCTTTCAACCGCTGCGGGCAAGGCTCGCCAGTAGGGCTCGTTGGAGAAGCTGCGCGCTGCAGGCCAAGCAGGCGCGAACAACGTCGCCCCTGGCATGATGTTCAGGGCGCGCCCAGCTTTGCCTGGGGGCGTTCGCGTTGAGAGGCGGTCTAGACGGCCTCGGAACTGAATCGCCATCACAAAGGTGCCTCGTTGAATGAGTTCACGAAGGCTACATGCAGGGCCCTTCAACTTCTGAGGACAAGTCTCGTGCGTGGGCATTATAGGAGCTGCGCGCCACAGGCCAAGCTGGTCTGAACAGCGCCACCCGGAACGCGATGTCCAGGACGCGCCCAGGTTTGCTTGGAGGCTTTCGCATTGAAGAGACGGTCTGCGCGGTTTCTAGCTCCCATCACAATCGCAATGGTGCCTTGCTGAAGAAGTCCACGAAGGGCGCAGCGCAGGGCGCTTCGACTTCCGAGGGGAAGTCTCGCCCATCGGTTGCGCGGAAGCGGCGGGCCGCGGGCTGGTCTGAACGGCGCCGCCCCTAGCGCGACATCCATGGCGCGCCCGGTTCTGCGTGGGTTTTCGCTATGAAGAAACGGTCTGGGCGGCTTCCGATCCCGCTCGCGATCGCAGCGGCGTCTCGTTGAAGAAGCTCACGAAGGCCACGGCGCAGTGCCCTTCGATTGCTGAGAGGAAATCGCGTTCGTCGGTTTTGCGGGGGGAACTGCGCGCCGCGGGCCAAAATGGTTCGAACGGAACCACCCTCGGAATGATATCCAGGGCGCGCCCAGCGCTGCTTGGGAGTTCTCGCGTCGGAGAGTCGGCCCGGGCGCCCTCGGGCCCCGATCGCGATCGCGTTGGTGCCCGGGTGAAATTCGCGGAGCGCGCAGCGAAGGAAGCTGTCGGAGTTCTCGCCCGTCGGCTTCGCGGAGGAAGCGGAGCGCCAGGCCGCGCTGGCTTGGGCGGCGCCAGCCTTTGCATGATATCCAGGACTGCTCATCTTTGCCTAGAGGTTTACCAGCTCGCTTGAGCCCCTCGTCTGCTCGCAGCGCGCGCGAGTTCCATTCTCCGCGCCGATCAACGGCCGACGTGTCCAACGCTTCCAGATGCATCGATGCGCAGGAGGCACTGGCCAGCACTCAGCATTTGCCAGACAGCGTAGGGCGCGCGCGGATGCAGATAGCGAGTCGCCCGAGGCACGCGGTGCTCCACCGTTCCATCGCGATTTGTGCGACGCAGGAGTTATTGCCAAGAGTTCGTGGCGTCCCTGGCCTTGCCATATGCTCCTTGTTACTCCTTGTTATATGTTATTTGTTGTGTAAATGTATGTATATACGTGTATGTATACATATGTATATACATATCTATATATATATATATATATATATATATATATACATACATACATATATATATATAGATACATATAAAACTATATGCTATCGCGAAAAATACAGTGCCAATGTCGACGAGGGTCGGAATTTGCCGTGGTCTTGCGTTGCGAGGTGCACGTGGGGACTGCAAGGATGGCGGGCCTTTCCGAAGGCCGCGCTGCCACTGGAAGGCAGAGGGCATGGGTCGCAGAGCCCGGGCCGCAAGGGCGCCCTTGATTTGGCAGGGTCGACCTGCTAATCAGCCTCGCCTGGATGTAGAACTGCTGCTGGCCATTCGATCCGGTGGCGCTTGCCACTCGGAGCTGCAATGGCGTCGATGGGGGCAGAGGGCGCAGCCTGCTGCTCGGGCGCGTCTCGGCGGCTGGCCGCGGGGCGCGGCGGCAGCCGGGGCGCGTGGGCGAGGGGGCCTCCTGGAACGTCGGCCCGTGGGGCCTCGTTTCGGGCCTCGGTCTCGCTGGACTCGAGCCGCGGCGGAGCGCGACCCAGCCAGGAAAAGTGCTGCCGTCGCCGAGGAGCGGCGAGGTGGATGGGGTGACTGGAAGGGGGTGGAGGGCCGCGGGGCGCGGCGGCAGCGGGGGCGAAGGAAGGCGCGGTCTGTGCGCCGCCCCCCAGCGGATGGCTCCAGGCCCCAGGGTTTCCTCACGTCGAGCCGCCGTGGACAAGTCGCCAACATGAGCAAGCGCCACTGGTTGCCGCAGGAGCAAAGCGAGGAAAGGGCAATAAGGGGAATGGGACGGAAGGCCGCGGGGCGCCGCGGCGGCGGAAGCGACGGGAGGGGCGTTCTGGATCATCGGCCCCCGGCGGCATATTTCGGGCCCCAGCGCTGTTTTCTTCATCCTCTTTTTCCTTCTGCTGGTCCTCCTCCTCCTCCTCCTCCTCCTCCTCCTCCTGCTCCTCCTCCTCCTCCTCATCTTGGAAGCTGCCCACCAGAGAATCCCGAAGGTCCCCATCTTTGCATACGTTGATGACTTAACCCAATCCCTTCAAGGGAGTGCTGAAGCAGTTGCTCATAATATTGTCCCAGCTATCGTTGAGTTGCACCAAGCTCTGGTTGACAGAGGATGTGTTATTTCGTTTAAATCATGTATCGTGGGCTCTAGTGTTGGTTTGACTAGGATTGTGCACCAGAAATGTGTTAATCTTGGGCTCCCTCTGATGGTGAAAGATACTGCTAAGGATTTAGGCGTTGGTACCACGGCTGGAAGGAGGAGGACAATGTGGAAAATGAAACAACGGCAGGCTGAGGGTTCCCGACGCTCCAAGAAGTTGTCTTTCCTGGCAGGCATTAATAAGAAGGCGAAGCGCTTGTTTAAGCCAGCCGTGCAGGCTGTTTCCACTTGGAGTCACCAAGTGCTTGGCCTCCCGCCCTCTCTTGTACAGCGGCTTCGAGGTCAAGCTGCGAAAGCATCAGGCTTGTGGGCTTCAGGCGCCTGCTCCACTACGATTTTGTCGATTAATAACCCGATGCGAGATGACCCTGGGTTTAGATTACGGTATGAACACCTGCTTGAGTGGGGGAGAACCTGGTCCGTCCTGATGCCAAAGCAGAAGATGAGTATTAACAAAGTTTGGTCGAACCTCGTGAACAAGTTTTAATGGAATCGACCCGACCTCACGATGGCGACGGGTTAGGGGACCTATTGCGGCGGTTATTGTTTGTATCCTGGACCTCCATGGGCGTCCTGAATCCCCTATCTCCTGGAAGTTCCCTGGGCCGTACCACGTGAAAGTTGACTCGGGCGATTTCAGATTTTTCCTGTGGCACGCAGTGTTCCTTGCAGTGTCGCGTGAAGTTTGGCAACGAGCTGCAGATCACTTCTGTGGAGAAGGACTCCGTGGAGGTGTTGATTTTACAGTCTTTAAGCAGCTCCACGCCTCTTTGAAGAAGAATGGCGATGGAGAAGGAGCTGCACTGCTCACCAACCTGATCATAGGTGGGCAGTGGCCTGAAATGAGGTTAAAAGACTCGGGGTATGAAAGCAACGGAGTTTGTCCCAGGTGTGGTTTGGCCCCAGAGACCCCTTTTCACCGGTTTTGGGAGTGTGAAGACAACAAAAATATCGAGGATTCTGCGATCCGACTCACTGATAGGTTTACTGATGATGCCCGCCAAGGGGTCACTGACGCCTCTTGTTTTTGGACCCGAGGGTTGGTCCCCATGGGCTGGACGTTGGATGACCTTCCTGATGGGCAGCTCCGCGTTTGGGCCTGGGGATCTTTCCTTGAGTCCATCAGCTCTGGAGTTAAAATTGTTGGAGGAGTGTTTGGGACTGACGGTTCGGGAGGAGAACACGGCAAGGATTGGAGGTTGAGGAGATGCGGATGGTCTGTTGTTCACCTGGACCCTGATTCCCTAGAAGTTCGAGGTATCCTTTGTGGGACCCTGCCTACTGTTGGTATGTGTGTGCAGAGCTCTCCTCGAGCAGAACTATTTGCACTACATCAGCTCTTGGTTTACACCGAGGGCCCAATTCACGTTTACATTGATTACCAGCCTATTGTCTTGGCCTTCCGAAGGAAAGGAGCACGGGTGGATGACTCTACCATGCTGGACATATGGCAAAAAGTTTGGACCACTCTTGAGGGACGATCAGGTGATGTTCGTGCGACCTGGGTTAAAAGTCATCCGACCAGGAGACAGATCGACCAGTACCAGATCTCTCCCCACGGCCTTGTTGCTAATTCGGTTGCAGATGTCTTCGCTGGGGTGGCTGCCGAATGGGGGGCTTTGGATCCTGAATTAGTCAGAACAGTGCATAGCGTCGATTCCTGTTGTGTCCTCGTGTTGCAGCGGCTCCTAGCTATCAGTCGTCACGTGTCGTTGACCTGTGGTCGTACCCGCCAAGATAGACTAGGCCGCGAGCAACACCGAGAGAGGGCTAGGGTTAATAGTGCCAACCAACGTAAATGCCGCCTCGTCCAACAAGGACATGATGTCCTGAAGATGAGCACTGTTTTTAAATGTAAGTTATGTGCCAGACGTTTCCCTGCCTTGAAAGGCCGCTTGGATCAGTTTTGGCCTGAGGCCTGTCCTGGCCCCGTGGTGTTGGGTCCCGCTTCGAGGGATGGGCCCTCCGCTGGGATCGGTCCGTGGAAGCCAGTCGGGCCCGATGGCGGTCATCATCCGAGTGTTTCACTGTGCCATTCCTCACACCAGTTGTTTGTGTACCGAGGAGTTCTTTTTTGTGCTGCATGTGGAAATTTTTGTGTAGGGACCCTTGTGAATCTGGCTGTGATCTGCCCTCTGCGTGACCAGGTGCACCCCAGGCCCTGTAGCACTACAGGGAAGCAGAATCTCAGCAGGTTGAAGAGGGGACTCCCGCCTAAATACGGCATGAGTTTCCCTGAGGCGTGAATGAGGTTTAGGGGCTGAGCTTGCACTCAGGAGCCCGCCACCAGGAATCCCAGGAATCCCCTTCCTCTTTCTCCACCCCGACCTCCGCCTCCTCCTCCTCCTCCTCCTCCTCCTCCTCCTCCTCCTCCTCTTCCTCCTCCTGTTTCACTTTATCCTCCTCCTCCTCCTGCTCCTCCTCCTCCTATTGCTCCTCCTTCTCCTCCTCTAACTTCTCTTCCGTCGGCTTCGGGGCACTTCTTGGGAACGTTTGAGAAGTCGTGGAGGAACCTTGCAGCAGACTTGCAGAAGCCTCCCGGGTACCTCTACAGAGACTTCCAGAAACCTCCTCGAAGCCTTAAACTAAATTTCTTTTAAGCATTTAGAGCACCGCTAGAACGCCTCGGGTAATCGCTTTCACGAACCTTTGAGATCTCGTGCGGAAGCCCCTCATGCACCTCTCACGAGTTTCTCTGATGAGTTTTGCTGAAGTTTTAAGAAAATTGTCCAGCAGCATGTCCGAAGCCTTGCGTACAATGTCCAGAAGCCCTATTTTTTCTGAGGCCTCTCGGAAGCCTTACAGAAGCCGTAAAGAAATTTCTCAGAAGTTTCTCGGGGGAATTGAATATTTGTTTCGAAGACGGTGGAGGGACTCCTCGGACACGCTACCTAAGCCATTTTTCGGAAACGTATAAACAGCCTCCTGGATACATCGACCAGGCCTTTCGGAAACCTCTGAGAAACCCTTCGAGTAACATGCCCCGAAGCAGCTTTTCGAAGGCCCGTCGGGGGCCTCCGAAAGCGTCTTGGGCGCGAGGGCGCGCGACCATTGCCTGCTTGGTGCACGGGGGTACGGAGGGAGGCCGCGACTTCCTCCCCATCCTCCTCCGGCAAGGCTTCGCCTTCGCATGCGATCGTCGGGCCGGTTGCTCGCCTCGCCTCGGCCCCTCGGGCTCGCACTTGGCGGTCGTTCTTCGGTCTGCTTTTGTTCGGGCGTTGTTTGTCTTCGGGCCGCTTGCAGGATACTCATCGGACGCTAAGAGGCCTCTCGGAAGCTTCGGGCAAGCCTCTCAACATATTCTCAGCAGCTTCGAAGAAGCCGATCAGCAACATCTAACAAGCCTCCGCTGGGTTTCTCCGAACCATCTCAGGAACTATACACCATAGTTTGAAGAGCTTTGCCGCGAAGCCTGTAGGAAGCCTCTGAGAAGTTGTTCGGGCACCTTTTTTACAGAAGCCTCGAAGTAGCCTTTCACACGCGTGTCATCAACCTTTCAAACCAGAAAACAGATGACAACCATCTCAGAAGCCTCGAACTAATTGGTCGGATGTCTGACATAAACTTGTAAGAAACGCTTAGAAGACACCTTACTAAACATCGAAGAAGCCCTGAAGCAGCTTCGACTAACTTTATCAGAAGCCTCGAACATGGTGTTCCTAAACCTACCGGAAACCTGTTCGAAGCTTTACACAAGCTTCGGGTGAATCCACTTCGGTCGAGGGTGGGGTACCGATGGAGGAGAAACATATGAAGGGGAAGCAAGGATGAAGGAGAAAGGAGGCCAACTGATGAATGCTGAAGGACGGAGGATACATGATGAAGGACTTAAAAAAAACATGAAGGTGGGAAGGGGGGATGTGGGGGGAGGCAGGAGGGAGGAAGGGATGCGGGGGCAGTTGAGGAGAGGGAGGGGAACGGGGGCAACTGAGGAGGCAATCAGGGGTCGCGCGCCGCTCTTTCCCCCCACCCCTTTCCCACATCCTCTTCCCCATCCTCGTCCTCCTCTTCTTCCTTCAGGTCCTGTTCCGAATCCCTCCTCCCTTCTCTCCACCCAACCTCCATCCCTCCCTCTCTATCCCTCCCCCTTCTCCTCGCCACTGTGAGACCGAGGTGATATCGGGCCAGGCCCTGGTGATTCTCGCTCGCCCCCCAGGGGCCTTCTCTTCTGCTTCCGGCCATTCTGCGAGTGGGCCGCGACAGCGGGCGGAGCCCGCCGCCGCATCGGTGAGCACCGCGCAGGTCAGCGCAGACGTAAGAACCGCTTTACGCCGCCGTCGTCGTCGTCGTCGTCGTCGTCCTCGTCCTCGTCCTCGTCCTCGTCCTCGTCCTCGTCCTCGTCCTCGTCCTCGTCGTGTCCTCGTCGTGTCCGTACGGGTGCCCTCACGGCACCCCGAAGGCCACAGGCGGCGGTTCCTTAGCCCGGGCCAGGGGACCACCGCGCACGACCCCCAGCTTCGAAACCACACCCACCGCGGCGCACCCTCCCAGCAGAAGCCCCGTCTGAGCGGCTCTTACTTCCCCCGAGGAATGCCGACGTGCCGCCCACGTGTCGAAGTGCCCTTCTGGGGGAAGAGTGGAGGAGGAGGAGGAGGAGGAGGAGGAGGAGGAGGAGGAGGAGGAGGAGGAGGAGGAGGAGTGAGGAGGAGGAGGGGGAGGAGGAGGAGGAGGAGGAGGAGGGGAGGGGAGGAGGAGGGAGGAGGAGGAGGAGGAGGAGGAGGAGGAGGAGGAGGAGGAGGAGGAGGAGGCGGAGGAGAGGAGGGGGAGGAGGAGGAGGAGGAGGAGGAGGAGGAGGAGGAGGAGGAGCGGAGGAGGAGGAGGAGGAGGAGGAAGCAGGCGACAGGCGCGGACCTGCAAGCACCCTCACAGGCAAGGCCCCCCCCGAGGAACCCGAGCACGGCGGGGCCCTTAAAGCCCCTCCTGCCGCGGAGCCCCGCGGCCGCCCCTCTCGGACCGAGCGTGCCGCGCCGCCCCATACGGCGGTGGATCGCTCGCAGACCGCCCCGCCTCCCAAGACCTGCCCGCCGCGATGCTGGCGCGCCTCGCCGGGCTCGGCGCGCGCGCGGCGGTCCGCCGCACGGCGCTCGCGGGGACCGAATCGGGCACGGTCGACGTTGGTGGCACTTGGTATCGCTCGGACGTGTGCACTTTTTCTCGGCGGGGATTATTCCGGAGCGTCCTGGAACATCCTGCGAAAAACAACGCACGAAACCCCAAAAAGCACAGGGAATGAACGTCCGAGCGACGGGGAGGATAGGGATGGGGTCACCTTCCCAAGGGCCAAGGGTACGGCAGGTTCGCGTCGTGTCGACTGGCGGCGACCCCGCCGCCAGCTTTCGACGCTGAACGCTGCAGGCGACCCAGAATCGTTGGGTGTTGAACGGTTTGACGTTTCGGAAGCGGCCGATCGCTCAAGATTGACCGATCCGCGGTGTCAGGAACCAACGCTGGGGTCGACACGACGCGAACCCGCCGTACCCTTGCATCCTGGCCGCTTCGGTCCATCCTTGACCACTTTCGATGCCCAGCCCGGCTCGAAAAGCTTCGAGACGGGCGTCCTAGGGGCTTGCACCCTTATCGCGCACCCTTACTGTCAACTTGGACAGTGCGGAAGCAATGGGCACACAAAGCTCAGCAGCAGTTCTTGCCCGCTCTGAACGGGATTCGCCGTCGGCGTCGCCGCGGTCGCTGTCCACTCGAGGCACAATCTTCCCTGCCCAACAGCGGCCACTGTCGGTTTGGGACAACACAACCTTTGTTGCTGGGCATCCTGCCCATCTTTTCCGAGGAGGGCGAGGAGGAGAAGGAGGAGGAGGAGGAGGAGGAGGAGGAGGAGGAGGAGGAGGAGGAGGAGGAGGAGGAGGAGGGGGAGGAGGAGGAGGAGGAGGAGGAGGGAGGAGGAGGAGGAGGAGGAGGAGGAGGAGGAGGAGCTGGAGGAGGAGGAGGAGGAGGAGAAGGCGGAGGAGGAGGAGGAGGGTACCCATTCTGGGGCGTCCAGAGGCGCCGCCGCTGCACGCCCGGGCGGGGCAGCGCCTGTTCTCCGAGTACGAGGGCCAGAACGTCACCGACGACCAGCTGGTGAAGAAGTCCGATGACTGGGCCATCGAGGAGACGAACTTCTGCCTCGGCAGGACGAGCTTCGTGCGCTTCAAGGACCGGCTCCCCGGGGGGGTGCGGTCAGGAGCTCTCGTGGCTCCAAGTGTCCCGCCGCCGGCCTTGGCCCACCGCGCTTCGGCGGGACGCGGTGACCACTTCGCAGTCGCCAAATTGATGGGCCTTTTTTCCACCACCACCACCACCATAAGTTGGAGGGGGAGGGGGTCCTCCTCCTCCTCCTCCTCCACCTCCTCCTCCTCGTCCTCCTCCTCCTCCTCCTCCTCCTCCTCGTCCTCCTCCTCCTCCTCCTCCTCCTCCTCGTCCTCCACCTTCTGGGCTGGTGGTGGCAAACAGGCCCATCACAGACGTCGACGTCCCGAGCTGCTCCCAGCTCCCGCCCCGCGGCGCGGGGCGACACGCCATCCCCTTGCAGGGCACAGCGCATCGCTGGGGCCGACGTCGCCGCGATACGCTACGCAAGAGTTCCCGACCGTATGGGGGGCAGCCCCCAGGAGGGTGGGCGTCGGGTCCAGCAGGGAGCGACGACGACGACGACGACGACGACGACGACGACGACGACGACGACGACGACGACGACGACTCTGCGAGCAGCGCCGGCGCCGAGAACTTCCACCCGCGCGCGGCGTGGCCGTCAGCGCTGCCCGAGAGCAGAGGGGGAGGGGCGGCCGCAGCGCCCGTGCCCTCTCGGTGCTCCTCCCCGGCGCCAGCCCCGGGGGGCGCCGGACGCACCTCGGCGCGGGGCGGGGCGCCCGATGGCCGTCGAGGGCACCTCCGAGCTCGTCGTCGTCGTGGTCGTGCTGTCGCCCGTGCCCTCGCGGTGCTCCTCCCCGGCGCGAGCCCGAGGGGCGTCGGGGCGCGCTCGGGCGCGGGGCGCCCGGTGGCCGTCGAGGGCACCCCTATAGAGCTCGTCGTCGCCGGGCCGCGCTGCAGCACGCGGGCGGCACGATCTGGCCGGAGCTCCCCCGGGCCTGCGGGCCGCAGCCCCTGACCCAGACCGAGCGGTGAGCGGACCTGCCAGGGTCGCTCCCGGCCGCCTTCGCGTACGGCCGGGGGCGGCGGGCGCGTGCCGCGGCCACGCGCAGAAGGGCGAGGGTAGAGGTCGGCCCGCAGAGTAAGGCTGGGCAACCTTCTCAAGGGTACCCTTGCCATCCTTGCCTCCTCGGCCCATCCTTGGCCACTTCGTTGGCCGCGCCCCGCTCGAAAAGCTTCGAAGTGGGCGCCCAAGGCCCCTGTATCCTTATCGCGAATCCTTCTGATACGGTCCGATTGTAAGTCTTCTCAGAAGCAGGCCGCGCCTTAGAGGGCGCGGGCCCTGCCTATAGATGTCGGGCTGGCGCCTTCTGAGAAGCAGATTCCTTCCAAGAATAGCCTTCCCCCCCTGCCTCCCTCTGCGCGCCACCAAGTGTCAGGCCACGGCGCAGTGCAGACAGGAGAAGGAGGAGGAGGGGGAGGAGGAGGAGGAGGAGGAGGAGGAGGAGGAGGAGGAGGAGGAGAGGAGGGGGGGAGGGGGAGGAGGAAAGAAGAGGAGAGAAGAGAAGGAAAGGAGGGCGGAGGAGGAGAGGAGGAGGAGGGGAGGAGGAGGGGAGGGGAGGGGAGAGGAGGGGAGAGGGAGGAGGCGGAAGGAGGGCAGGCCGGGGAGTAGGAGGTCCCAGGTGGTCACTGGCCCTGAAGGGGGGCTCGTTGCCTGGGTCGCGGATCTGCCGGAGGAGGATGGAGGAGGAGGAGGAGAGAGGAGGAGGAGGGGGAGGGGGAGGGGGAGGAGGAGAAGGAGGAGGAGGAGGAGGAGGAGGACGAAGAGAAAGAAGAAGAAGAAGAAGAAGAAGAAAATGAAGAATAAGAAGAAGAAGACGAAGAAGAAGGAGGAGGAGGAGGAGGAGGAGGAGGAGTTGTGGGGGGGAGGGACAAGAATCGAGAGCGCGGGCCCGGGCCGCGGTGCTCAGCCTCCTCGGCTCCCGGGGCCACGGTCGCCACCATGTGGCCGAGGACAGTCCCAGCGCCAGCCTGCTCGTCCATGCCCCGGACACGGCGCACCGTGCCCGCCAGGAGCGCGTGGCCTTCCGGGCTGCGCTTGGCAGCGGCATCAGCATCTGCATTGGCTTGCAGCCATTCGTCGGCCCAGCGGGCGCTGCTGGCGGGCGCACCGAAGCAGGCGCTCGGCCCTTCGCGGGCTCCAGGCCGTCGGTGTGGCTCGGCACCCACACGACGCCCCAGAGGTCCAGGGCTGGGGTGGCGAGCTGCGCGAACCGACGCCAGAGGTCGGATGCCTTTCCAGGTTCACCGGCTGCCGCCGCGCTTCGAAGACGACGCAGGCCACGAGCCACTGCTCTGTTGGCCACAAGGCAGCAGCACGCCCTGCCTGGCCGGGGCGGCGTGCCGCAGCGCGAACGGGACGGCTTAGACTCCGACCTCTGCCCGGTAGACAGTCAGATCCGGGCCCGGCAGGGCGCCCCAGACGTCGAGTAGGGGATCGACTATAGAATTGATTTACTCCAAAGTTCATTTGCCCGTCGAATGTACAAGAGGCGCATACAACGTTCGTAGATCGACGGGACAGTATACGCATTGGTCCGTAGACTCGGCGGGGGATCAAGTTTGGGTAAAGCAATTCTGTAGTTGATCCTCCACTCGAAGACGGTCAGGCTCCCGCCGGCGCTGACTACGCCCCACGCCGCACGGCGAAGGTGGGGTTCGCCCGGATGGGCCGCCATGGCCGTCGGTGGCCACCGGTCCGGCGAGCAGCGGGCGGTTCGATTTCTGCCACCACGCGTCGGGGCGCCCTCCTGGTCCCAGGACATTCCAGACAGGGATGCGAGTGGCTTCCGCGGGCACCAGGCCGCAGAAGAGGAAGGCAGCCGGGGCGCACTGCACGCATAGGTCGGCGAGCTCCTGCACCAGACCTGCTCCTGCGAACCTGGTTCCGGAGGAGGAGGAGGACGAGGAGGAGGAGGCGGAGGAGGAGGAGGCGGAGGAGGAGGAGCAGGAGGACGCGCGACGATCACTGGGAAGACACAGGTCTTCACAGATAGCAGAGCACACTACAGGCCCCTATGCCCAGGGAAGAAAGGCAGGGCGAGGGCCCAGCCCAGAGACGACCCGAGAAACGGCCCAGAACCGCCCCCCCCCCCCGACTCGGGAACGCCCTACCGACGCAGCGCCAGGAGCCTCTGGGGGAAGCTCTCGAGTCCACGGTGAAGGCCGCTCGAAAAGGCACAGAAGAACGGCCCGGCACCACACGGCACACGAGGAGAGGCCAGCGTCCCGAGCCGAGCGGCCAGCGCACCCAGCGCACGTGCGCGCCCAATGAGCGCCCGAACCCTTACGGCTCAAAGGGTGCCACGTGGCCCAGCTGCACCAGGTCGGCCAGCTGCTTCGGCAAGGCCCACGGCAGATCCTCCCGCGTGCACGTGTGGATGTCGCCCCGGGCGCCGCCAGACAGAGCAGCGCCATCTACCCCTGCATCATCTCTAGGGGGAAAGTTCAGCGGGCAGCGGCCGACGACGTACTCCAGCTTCTCCTCCATGCTGCAGGTGGCCGCACGGGGCAGAGCTACACAAGCATCACCCACCTCCGCTGGAGCGATGCCAGATGCGGGCAGCGAATGGCCACCACCAGCGTCACCATCTCCTGGAACATCCTCTTCGCTCATTATTTGTCTCTTCTTCTTCCTCTTCTTCTTGACCCTGTGTTTCCTGCCCTTCTTGCCCTTCATGGCGTCGCCAATGAAGAACTCCTCCACCGATTCGCGTATCCTCTACCTCGGCGGCGTCCTCGGCCCCTGGGCCGCAGCCGGAGAAGGGGGGCAGGCGGCAGCATTGGCGCCGTCACCGACAGCAGCACAGGCGGTTGCACCTCCTCCTTCATAATTGACCTCATGAGAAGCGGATCCACTGTCCCGAAATCGCCTGGCGGCGGCAGCGGCAAAGGGGCCCAGAGCGGGGCCTGAGGAGGAGAATGCGACTGGTGGTGGAGAATCGGTGCGCCACTGGGCCCAGGAGTTGGAGGTGAAGGAGGTGGAGGAGGAGGAGGAGGAGGAGGAGGAGGAGGAGGAGGAGGGATTGGGTTGGGCACTCGGCGGAGACCTGGTCAAGCCAGGGCGCTTCGGAGGAGGAGGAGGGAGGAGGAGAAGGAGGAGGAGGAGGAAGAGGAGGAGGAGGAGGGAGGAGGAGAAGGAAGAGGCGGAGGAAGAAGGAGGAGGAGGAGGAGGAGGAGAAGAAGAAGAAGAAGGCCGTCGGAGCTTCGGTCGCCGAAAGGAGACGGACGACCTCGCGCGCCGTACCAAGCACCTGATGGACACGCAGCTGGCCAAGCAGCACACCCGCCTGCGCGACGGCACGGTCACCCCTCTCTACTCCCGAGGCAGTTTTTGCCCAGTGCTGGCCAGGACATGTCTGCAGAGGGTCAGACGTCGGGCGGGGCGCAAGGTGCTGGCCGGCCTTGGCGAGGTGGGGACCCTTCCAAACCGAGACTATCATCAGCCATCACGGTCCCTGTGCCCAATCATACGGTCGGGTATTTTGGCTCAGCGTGTCGCGCCGCTGTTTCTGGCCCACTGCGTTCCGGCGCGACACGCTAATCACGTCCTGGCCATTCCCGAGCCTTCTCCCAGCCCCCCCACCTAGTTGAGCGGAGCGAAACGCTATCAGCTCACAGGGCATGGCGCGCGACCCCAGCGCGGGCGCTCAAGGTTGAACACCACCAGCGGACCAGAATCGGCCAATGTGGAACGATCTGGCGATCGACTAGCCGCCGAACCTTCAAGGTTGAACGCTCCACGTGGTGTCAGAAGCCAGCGCCATGGTCATCACGACACGGATCTGCCGTACGCACTCTCCCTTGACCGAATCAGCCACCAGGCGACGCTTGGATCTGATCTTTGGGCGCAACGGTGAGACAGATCTGCGTTCGACCCTAGCTTGCCAACGAGCTCACCAGAACGTGGGACACTGCGCCCCCGCGGGCCGTGACTCCAGCCTGGATCGACTTCGAAGGGGGGCCCAAGGACGACGGACCTGTGCAATCAGGTCACTCGTGCGAGCAGCCCTTGGGCGGTGCGGCCATCGGCGTGCCCCAGGTAGACTGCAGCAGGCACCAGTGAAGACCTGGCCTGCCAACGGGCAGCCCACGACAATGTCACATCTCCAGATGTGGCCTGGAGCCGCAGAGCCTTGGGCCACCTTGCGAAGCGGGGAGTCGACGAAGGATGCGGCCCCGGCCCCCATACTTCTGAGGGCAAGATCCTTACCGCATGGTGTGCTTGCTGTATGGTGATGCTTCGTCCACGCTTGCTCTGGATCCAGCCTGTGCGCGGTCTATGACGAGTGGTGCGAGGAACGGGCTCACGCCATTGCAGCGAACGCGGGCCGAGAGCGCGTTTTCGCAGCGGCCAGGTCTGACACGGCTGCGAAGCGCGGACGACTGCGCCAGCAGCATGCGAGGCGGCAGCACGGCTTCCAGCCAACTGCAGATGCAGCCTACAGTAAGCTTTAAGTCGGGCGTGTCCCTCTACAGGAGGAAGATTCAAACATATTTTTTAGAAAATAATCAGGGGACGATTGTTCGACGATTTAAAACTGTTTTTGAGCATTTCTTGCCTATTTGTTTTTTTTCGCCCTAAATCCGCCTGTAGGGGGACATGCCCGACCTAAAGTAATCTCTTGCGAACATGCGCGAATCGAGGGGAAGCGAAACCAACTCGCAGCAGCTCGGGGACGAGCACCGCTCCCGCTTCTGGCGGCAGGCGCGCCGCCTGCTCCACGGTGGCAGCGGAGACACGCCGAGCGCACCGAACCCGCCTCTCCGAAGATGGCACGAGCCGGTCCCGCGACGACGGCCACTGCAGCGCCAGCCTGGCAGAGCGCAGCCCAGGCCCCCGACGTCGTGATTTTTGCGCAGCGTCGACCCCCAGAGGCCTGGACCCTTCTCTGGGACCGTTTTTTTCCTCCTGAGTGAGGCGTGTCTTGACAGCCCCGAGGCCCAGGGAGGGCCCCCGGCGGCCGAAGGTAGCGAGAAGCCTCCCGTCGTGTTTTTTTTTTTTTTTCACAGCGCCAGGGGGTCTGGGTTGGCGGACCGCAACGCGTGACGATCATTAATTCGTGCCCGTCCCTCTACAGGAGGAGTATTCAACAATAGCAAGCGTAGAGTATGGAGACGATGTTCTGTTATGTTTGATCGTTTTGGGTATTTTTTTGACTAGTTCTGTTTTTCGTCCAAAATCCGCCTGTAGGGGGACGTGCCCGACCTAAGACGATCAGCCTGGAAGCGTGGTTTTTCCCGGAAAGGGCGTAGGCCCAGGGTTCTCTTTTAGTATGTAAACATGTCCCCGGTGCCCAACTTGAAGGAGGCCGGCGGATTCTTTCCCTGATAAATATCGAGGTCGAAGGAGGCCGGCGGATTGAACTTTGAGGATGTCTCAGGCGAAACGCTTGTTTTTGAAATCCCGATCGATAAATCACAGGGTGCGGGACACCTCAGCACGACCACACCCCCAGCATGACCACACCCCAGCACGACCACGCCCAGCACGACCACGCCCCAGCACGACCACACCCCAGCACGACCACAGCACGACCACACCCCAGCACGACCACACCCCAGCACGACCACACCCCAGCACCAGCACGACCACACCCCAGCACGACCCGATCGATAAATCACATGGTGCGGACCACCCCAGCACGACCACACCCCAGCACGACCCCACCCCAGCACGACCCCACCCCAGCACGACCCCGCCCCAGCACGACCACACCCCAGCACGACCACACCCCAGCACGACCACACCCCAGCACGACCCCACCCCAGCACGACCCCACCCTAGCACGACCACACCCCAGCACGACCACACCCCAGAACGACCACACCCCAGCACGACCCCACCCAAGCACGACCCCACCCCAGCACGACCACACCCCAGCACGACCACACCCCAGCAGGACCCCACCCCAGCACGACCCCACCCCAGCCCACACCCCAGCACGACCACACCCAGCACGACCTCACCAAGCACGACCACACCCCCCCAGCACGACCACGCCCCAGACAGCGACCACCCCCCCAGCACGACCACCCCCCAGCACGACCACCCCCCAGCACCCCCCAGCACGACCACACCCCAGCACGACCCTCCCCAGCACGACCACACCGCCTTGGTTGAGTGGTTGCCTGTCGTCGTGGAATGTTTCGTGGGGTGTCTCGTGGAATGTTTCGCGGGGTGTCTCGTGGAATGTTTCGTGAGGTGTCTCGTGGAATGTTTCGTGGGGTGTCTCGTGGGATGTTTCGTGAAGTGTCTCGTGGGATGTTTCGTGAGGTGTTGCCCAGTTGGGTATCGTGAAAACGTGTCCATGCTCCACATGTCTATATCCCTTTCCGGGTTCGTGGGTCCATCATGTTCTGTCCCGCCCTCCCGTCACGCATGGCGCGCTCCAGACTTAGTCTCGCCCTCGAGGGATCGAAGGAGGCAGAACTCCGGCGGAGGCTGTCGGAAGCAAAACGGGGTGCTCGAGGGTGGGGCCGTGTGGCTGGGTGTTTGATCCAGCAGTTCCGCACTCCTACCTCTGCGCCCTTTTTCTGACCCTGGCTCGTCTCGAGGTTTCTGAGACTGGTGCTGCGCCGATACGTCGGTATACCTTTTGACAGGGCCCGGCGCAAGACATCCGAGTGACATTCAGGGGGTGCCGCGTGGGAAAAGAGGAAGTAAAACGAGGGCGGCTCCGCCGGCGCAGGCTGGCGGAAGGCTGGCGGAAGGCCGGCGGGAGCAAAAGATGCGCCCCTGCTACGAGACCCAGACCTCCTCGCGTTGTGAAACGATCACGACATGAGATGTTTCTCTATTTTCGGCCTCCGGGGGCCCTTCCCGGGCCTCGGGGCCGTCAGAAAACGACTCAGGACGAAACACCGGTCCCGGGGAAAGGGTTCCGACCTCTGGGGGTCGACGTTGCGAACAAAATCACGACGTCGGGGGCCTCTGGGGCGGAAGGCTGGCGGAAAGCGGGCGGAAGCAAACGATGCGGCGCCCTTGCTGCTAGATTCCAACATTTTGAGGCTCAGGGTTTCCAAAAAAAGGGCCAGGTGTACGACATACTGCTCGATTTGTTTCTCTTCGCTTCCCCTGGTTGGGCTCGTGCCATGGCCGCCCTCGGGGACATCGATGGGTGTCTCGTCTTGTTCTTGCCCCTCCGTCTCCCCCGCCTCCTCCTCCTCCTCCTGTTCCTCCTCCTCCTCCTCCTCCTCCTCCTCCTCCCCCTCCTCCTCCACATCCACTTCCTCCTCCTCCTCCTCCTCCTCCTCCTCCTCCTCCTCCTCCTCCTCCTCCTACGCTGAAGGGGAGCTTCGCCGTCGAGGGCTTCGAGCATGTGGTGCTGCCGCGGTGCCATCGCTGGCTGGAGGGCTGGCAACTGGGGGGCTGCTCACTTGTGTGCGCAGCGAGCATGGCCTTGCCACCATGCTGGGGTCGCGGCCTTCTGTGCTTCAAGAAGGGCGCGTGCAAGTGCTCCATCACTCGGGGCTGCTGCGAGGCGGCATCGTGATGGCCAACATCTACCTGCAGTCAGGCGTCGGCGTCAACGCGTTCAACGCCCAGATGCTGCGCGACCTGGCCTGCAGGCTGCGCGAGTACGGTCGCCCATACGTGGTCGGGGGCGACTTCAACTGTACCAAGCAGGAGCTGGCCAAGTCAGGCGTGCTGCGGCTCTTCGATGCGGTCGTCGTCGACACGCTGGAGCCCACCTGCGCGCAGTCGAAGCGGACGATCGATATGTTCATCGTCTCGCGTGGGCTCAAGGTGACCAACATCAGCGTGGTCAGCGGGTCGCCCGTCTACCCGCACAAGCCAGTCATCCTGGAGCTGGAGGCGTGTCGCCAACGGCCGTGGGTTCGGGTCGTGCCAGTGCCCAAGCCCTTCCCTGTCCAGCGGCCTGCTGGATGTGCTCGCGTCGCCCACGGCGACCGCTGGGCCGAGATCGGCCACGAGCTGCAGAGCGTGCTGGCAGGCGCGCAGGAGTCGGAGTGCCTGGACGTTTCCCGTGTGACCTCACCGCCGCCCGTTGCGGGGCCCGCGAGTGAGGGAAGATCGTGCCACTTGGAGGAGTGTGTGCGGGATCAGGTCAAGGGTAGCACCGACGTCAAGGGTAACCTCACCGCCGCATGGCAGAGGTCCCTCGACGCAGCCGAGGACGAGTGGATCGACATCTACCAGGTCGAGGAGGACAGGATCAAGCACAAGGGGCGAGCTCGCCCCGTGGAGCCACGTTGGCTTCGGCGGCTGCCCGTGAGTGGCGCGCGCTGGCCGCGGGTCTCGGCTGAGGCGACATGGATGCACCGTGCTGCCAGCCTGCTGCGGGACATCGCCGACGTGGAGCAGCCCAACGCGCGTCTCGACGCTTTTCGAGGTGCGCGTAGGCTGCTAGACAGAGCCCCAGCCACAGTGAAGGCGGCACCTGATGCTGGCGAGGTTCTGTCCTGCCCTCAGGTGTTGCCCCAAGCTGTAGCATGGTGGTCGCTGCTTAGCAACTTGCGCTTGGCGGCGCTGACCCCCGCTGAGCTGCTGCAGCTGCACGCTGGGGCGCAAGCGGTGGCGCTCGACATGGCTGAGAAGGACATGGCCCAGCGCACCGTCCAGTTCCAGCACTGGGTCGAGAAGCAGGCCGAAGGCGGTGGAGGTGGTCTACATGCGGTGTCCCGCCTGCCCGTCGGGTTCGACTCCAGCCCGTGCGGCGACGCCGAGGACGACCAGGACGCCGACGACCACCAGCAGCTTTTCGAGCCCATGGACCTGGGGCAGCAGGTCACGGCGCTGGAGGTCGAGTGGAGCCGCTGGTGGAGGACTACCTGCGAGCAAGTGCGGCTGCAGTGGCCAGCCGACCTCGGCGAGAGGCCGCCCAGGCCCACGGTCCCCGAGCTCCGCAAGGTGCTGCGCTCGTTCAAGGGCAGCACGGGCATGTCCTTCTGCTCCGTTCGGCCGCGGCAGCTAGACGAGTTGTGCGACGAAGCGCTGGAGGTGCTGATCGACATCCTGGTGGCCGTCGAGCGCGAAGCAGCCTGGCCGCTCATGACAACCAAGATCGGCTTCATCCAGAAGCGGCTCGGCGGCGTCAGGCCCATCGCCGTCATCATGGTGCTGGCGAGGGTGCAGGCGCGGCTGCGCCGAGGCGTCGCGCACAAGTGGGAGCAAGACAACGACCGCCCCTACTGGTGGGCAGCTGCTGGCCGCAGCTGCGAGCGTGCGGTGTGGCACCAGGCCGCGATCGGCGAGTGGGCCACGCAGCGCGGTGCCGACTGCGGGGACGCCGAGTCGTGGGTGGCCGTGGCGGTGCTGCTCGACCTGCTCAAGGCGTTCGAGCAGGTGCGCCACCACTGGCTGCTGGACGCCGCCGTCGCCACGGGGTTTCCCCTCTGGCAGCTCAAGCTGACGCTGGAGCTCTACTGCGCGCCTCGGGTCCTCTGCATGGGCAGCGCGGCCTCGAGCGTGATCGAGGCCAGGCAGGATCCTCCCAGGCGATGGCTTCGCGACGGCGCTGCTGAAGCTTATTCTGATCGGGCCGCTGGATCGCCTGGTCATACAGCACCCGACAGTTTCTCTGGCCGTCGTCGTGGACGACCTCATGCTGCACCGAGTTGGCGGGCTCATGCGCGTGACTAAGGAGGTGGCAGAAGCAGCGTTCGAGCTCAAGATGCTGCTGCTGGACGTCGACCTCAACGTGGCGGTCAAGAAGTCGAGGGCGCTCTCCAACCTCCCAGCAGGCCGGCACGCCCTGGCCGCTCGGCTACGCCGTCCCCTCGGCGTGCTCTCCGTCAAGGGCGAGCGCAACCTGGGCATCGACTTCGCCTGCGGCAGGCGTATCGTGCGCAAGGTGCGGCAGGAGAAGCTGGTTCAAGCAGGGCTACGCCAGCGCCGCGTGGCCATCCTGAAGACTGGGGCTGGGCGCAAGAAGGCCGTGCGCAAGGTGGCCCGTGCTGGGATCGAGCCCAGCGTGACCTACGGCGTCGCGGTCACGGGCTGCGCCACCATGGAGCTGGACACGCTGCGCACGGCGACTTTCAAGGCAGTGGCCCCCAGCGTGGACGGTCGCTCGCGCACGCTGACGCTTATGCTGACGCCCATGCTGGACCCGATGATCAGGGCCACGCTGCTCCCAGTGCTGATGATGCTGCGCGCGGCGTGGGAGTGCTGGATCCCGCAGCATATCATCGCCTACGGCCTCACTTGCTGCCAGGCGGCGAGCTGGAGCCAGGTCAAGGGCCCCTTCAGCGCGGTGAGGCTCACGCTCGAGAGAGTTGGCTGGCAGGTGCTGAGCCCTACCTTGTGGCGCACGCATGAGGGCTACGACATTCATGTTTTCGAGCTGGGGCCGTGGTCGGTCAAGCGCATTCTCCTGCGAGCAGTTCAAGCGTGGCAATGGCGTGAGGTTAGCAAAGGGCCTGGCCTGGAGCACCTCGCGAGCGGGGGGGTCATCGAGCCCTTGATCACGATGACCTCCTCGGGTGCCGTCAGCCGCAAGGGCGTATTCGGTCGGCAGCTGGCTGTCATGGAGGCCAAGGATCAAGATCCTGTGAGGAGGGCGGCTGTGTACGCGCGCATGGTGCTCGAGAAGCGGCTGAGGGCCTACACCACCTTCTGGATCCAGGACATTGCCACGCTCGACGAGGATGGTAACAAGGCCCACTGGCTAAGGCTCTGCGTCTCCTACGTGGCCGACCTGCTGGCGCACGGCACGTGGCTGCCGCTAGTCACCGAGACTGCGCGCTCCCTCGACATCGACAACCTTGGCGTGGCCAGGCTGAAGATGGCCCAGGACCTCTGCGAGTCGGCTTGGTCGGCCAGGAAGCGCATCAGAGCCCGCTACCACGCCAACATGATGCGGCTGGCAGTGCAGGACCCTGACGAGTGGGACGTGCAGGCGGCGCGGCACGCGCGATCCATGATCAGCGCGGAGGAGCAGTTCGACGAGACGCCTGCCAGGCGCGCCGCAGTGGCCTCAGCTGGTGTCGCCGACGCAGCCTCAGTCCCTCCGATGGCGGTGGCGGTCTGCCCAGAGCTGGCGTCAGAACCCGCTGTCCAGCGGTCGTCGTTGCCAAGCTTTGCTGAGCTCGGAGTCAGAACCCCCTGGCCAGCGGTCGCGTCGCCACATGCTGAGCTCGAGAGGTCAGGACCCGCTGGCCAGGGGTCTACGTCGCCTGTTTCTGCTGTGCTCGAGAGGTCAGGACCCGCTGGGCAGCGGCCAGCGTCGCCACGCCATGGCCGAGCAACGGTGCAGATGGACCATGGGCCGAATCCCATGGAAGGCAAGCAGTCATCCATCAAGCTCACGCTGAAGGAGCGAGGGTATCTCGCGTCCGTTGTCACCGACGGCCAGTGGTGCCAGAGCCGCAAGTACGAGAAGGGCATGGCCTCTGACGACTCGTGCTTGCTGTGCGGCGAGGTCGGCACCCTGCTCCACAGGCACTGTGGCAGCTGCGCAGGTTGGCCGCCAGAGCTGAAGCTGCCCGACAAGATGCGCGAGCTGGCGGCGAGGTCGGACATGCCCGAAGTGCGCTGCCTGCTGGAGCGCGTGCTGTGGGCGGCGCCGACTGGCATCGTCAAGCCAGCCCCGTCGCCGCACGTCTGCTGGCTGGGCGAGAGCGACGGCTTCTTCCCCTCTGGCGAGCTCTACCTGGACGGCTCGCAGTACGAGGGCGACTTCGAGCAGTACGCGAGCGTCGCCTGGGCCGTCATCGCGCTCGAGGCCGACGCCGACGCCTTCCTGTGCGGGGCGTCGGGGATGCTGTGCGAGCCCCACGTCGACATCAACGGCGGCGAGATCATGGCGCTCCTGATGGTCCTCAGGTTCGCGGTGCCGCCCGTCGCCGTCGTCGTGGACAGCGGCTTCGTGCACCGCGGCCTGCTGGAGCTGGGCCCGAGGCGCACCACCGCGCACGGCGCGGCGTGGGCCCACCTCTGGAGGGAGGTTTGGGCCAAGCTGGAGGACTTCGGCGGCCTGGGCGACGGCGGGCTGAAGGTCAGGAAGGTCCCCGCCCACCAGACGCAGAGGGCGATGGTCGCCCACGGGAAGATCTCGTACCGCGACTGGCTGGGCAACGGCATGGCGGACAAGGCCGCCAAGTCGGCGGCGGCGGCAGGACGGATCCGCCATCAGGATCGCAGGAGGCTCGTCATGGCCGACAAGCTGGTCGAGGGCGTCGCGCTCTGGGTGTCGGCGGTGGGCGGCGCGCTGGACGGCAGGGACACCACCCACCGCGTGGCGAAGCCACAGCGCCCCGCGCCGAAGGCGCTGCTGGCGCAGCCGGCCGCCAGGCTCTCCTGTGCCTGGCGCGGGGAGCCTGGCAAGCGGTGGTGCAGCCGCTGCCGCTGGGTGGAGCGCGCAGGCGAGTGCCCAGGCACCATCGTGCCAGCGGCGCTCCAGCACAACGCCGAGCTGGCCGCCAGGGGGCTCAGCACGCACGTGCTCGTGCGCATCGAGCCCGAGCGTGACGTCGAGCTGCGCCGCGACATGCCGCTGGTCGCGTGCGCCGCCTGCGGAGCCGTGGGGGCGGCCAGGGCCTCCAGCTTCGCGCCGCCGTGCGGCCGCGCGTCGGCCAAGGGGCTGCTGGCCGTGGCGCGCCTGGAGAAGCGGCTCGCCCCAGCGGTCTCGGGCAAGGTCGCGGTGGCCATCAGCCCGCTCAGGAGTGCAGGGTGACGGCCAGCTTCCCCTTCCTCCTGGCGCGACGGGCCGACGGCCTGAGTGGCCCGTGAGGCCGTCGCGCTGGCGGCACGCCGAGCCCGAGGGGCCGTGGCGTGCGGGCGCTCGCTGAGAGCGCGAGCCCGTCGCGCGTGGGGCGCGCGGCGAGCGCGAGCGGCGGGTCACACGCGCCGCTTGAGGCTCGTGCATCATCCTCCTCCTCCTCCTCCTCCTCCTCCTCCTCCTCCTCCTCCCCCTCTTCTTCCTCCTCCGCCTCCTCCTCCTCCTCCTCCGCCTCCTCCTCCTCCTCCTCCTCCTCCGCCTCTTCCTCCCTCTCCCGTGTGGACAGGGGTCCGGTATGATGGCCCCCCCTTCCCTGTTTGGCAGGATTTAAGAGTCTCTTCCCTTCGGGGCTGTCCTACCTGCCCGTTTTCCTCGTCCTCCTGCTCCTCCTTCTCGTCCCCCTCCTTGGGCCTGCGGCAGCAGTCGAATAGCCCCCCCCCCGCATTCTCCCTGTATTCCGCCGAGGGTCCTCCTCCTCCTCCTCCTCCTCCTCCTCCTCGTACTCCCCCTCCAACTCCCACTCTTCTTCCTCCTGTCACTCTCATTGGCATCATTACTTCTCCTCCTCCTCCTCCTCTCCTCCTCCTCCTCCTCCTCCTCCTCCTCCTCCTCCTCCTCCTCCTCCTCCTCCTCCTCCTCCTCCTCCTCCTCCTCCTCCTCCTCCTCCTCCTCCTCCTCCTCCCTCACTCCTCCTCCTCCTCCCCTTCCTCCTCATCCTCACTGCCCTCGCCCTCCACGGTCATCCCCTACACCGCCCTCTTCCTGACCGACGTCCTGGACAAGCCGGGCCCCGTGCACATCTTCACCGAGCAGCCGCTGCTGAAGTGGACCTGGGACGAGACCTACGACGAGGCCTACGAGAAGCCCGAGGGCGCGAAGTGATCGGATCGGGTTGGCCCAATAGGGGGTCCAGCGACCAGGGGGTGGTGCAATAGATTTGGTACAATCGATTTGTGGAGTTGCAACACATTTGGGGCGTGCAACACATGTCGGGGCGCAAATGTCTTGCTGGATTCTCGCGTGCAATATATGACTTGCAACACGATGCAATACATTTCTGCGGCGCAACACATTTGCAATACAACTGCCCCAAATCTATTGCACCACCCCCTTTCCGCTGGACCCCCTTTTGGGCCACCGAAATCGGAGACCGCCAAAGCTCCGGGCCGCTCCCAGACCTCCAGCGCAGTGGACGACAGCGAGACGGGAGGTTTTTCGCTGTGCTCGGTGTCGGGGGGTCCGGCCCGGCCCGGCCTCCGGACCGTCAACGAGACCACTCGGGGCGAACAGCTTGCCCCTGGGGAACGGGTCGAGACCCCTGGGGGTCGTTCGGCAGCAAAGCATGTGAGGCGTTCCGAAAGGGGCCTTGCCCTCGAGGATCGACGGAGTTGCCATGTCTGCCTCGGTGACAGGCGGCGGAAGGGAAGTAAAACGAGGTCGCCTCCGCCGGCGGAAGCTGGCGGCGGAAGAGCGGCGGAGGGTGGCTGAAGTATAAGATGCGCCCCCAAGAGATGACAACATTTGTTGTTCAGGGTTGCCAGAATCCGCCATGTGATCCTTGTATGCCCTCGCAGTTCCTTTTTTGCAGTGCACTAGCGTCACTAGCGTCGATTAGCGTTTATTCATCGACGAGATGGCGCCGATTTCGCGTCGATGAGCGTCACACTGCGTCGATCTAGCGTCGACTAGCGTCGACTGGCGTCGGTCAGCGTCGACTCGCATGAGCCAGAAAGACGGTATGGGGGGCTCCCATGAGTTGCCACCATAGGGTCGACGCTGTGAACAAATCAGGACGTCGGGGGTCTGGGGTGCTGCCCGAAAGTTTACGACATCACATGCCGGGGTTCCCGTCCGGCTCTCGCGGGGCGGTGCCAGTGCCAGCGTCCTCTTCTTCCTCCTCCTTCGCCGCCTCCTCCTACTCTTCCTCCATCCTCCTCCCTCTCCTCCTCCCCCTTCCTCGCTCCCCTCCTCCTCCCTCTTGTCCTCCGGGCCTTTCTGCGCTCGGGTAGCGTGGCAGGGACAGCTTTTCAGAAGGGCGCGCGCCCCTGCGAGCCAAGCTTCCTGCGGGTACAAGACCCGCCTCTGCCATCCACAGTCTTCCGTTTCTGCATGTCCGCGCCACGGGTTACCTCCCCCGGCGTTTGCTTACCGGGGCACCGTGCCACCGCCACGGCACGGGCAGCAGCGGTACTCAGGTCACGTCCTCCGCAGGGGCGTCAAGGGCGGTGGCAGAGGGGCTCCCAAGGGCGGTGGCGGAGGGAAAAACGTCTCGGCCGGTGATCCACCCTCCTCATCCTCCTGGACATGCTCGAGCTGTGGCTGCGAGAAAAATCAAGCAGGGCTGGCAACAGTGCAAGCATTGCTGGTCCTGGAGATCGTCACCGTCGTTCATGCAGTCTGCGCTCCCCGTGGGCGTGTGGGCGCTGGGGGGGCCCGCCCTCAGCCCCAAGAACATGGACTTTGAGTTACGTTGCGTTGACTGGTGGTGCTCCTGTTCGTCCTGGGCCTCTGGTGCAAGGTCCTGGCGGGGTCCCACTACCACAAGGTGAGCACTCACGGATCGCTTCGCTGGTCCACCTACAGCGATCTCAGGGTGAGGAAGCAACGGCCGCGCGTTCTCAGGCCAAGTTGGACGATGAGGTGGGCGCAGGCAAAGTCGAACCTCCATGGCAGCAGAGGGTGAATCGTGCCTACCACGACATGCGAGGACTGGCAGCAAAGTTGTCCAAAGCGGAGGAGTCGTTCGAACGTGCGCCAGCGGTTTCTTGAGCAGCAGCGGTCGAATGCCGAGAGCCTGTTGGCCCAGCTGTCGGAGGCAGCGGCGTCTCGCAGGACGCCGGTGGAGGAGCTGCGGAAGTCATCGGATGGCTCAGTCCGTGCTCCTGCAGTCAACCCGCATGGTAAGGATGGGCGTCCAAGGCCCTTGCATCCTTATCGCGCATCCTCACTATACTGGTTGACTGTGCCGAGGCAAGCCGCTGTGCAGGTGAGACCTCCGTCGGGGACTTGCCGGCTTACTGCTTGGGCAGTCCAAAACCCGGATGGCGACGCAGCCCAAAGCGCGTGAAACGCCTGTGGGAGGCGTTGGCAAGGGCGCTGCGACGGCGGGGGGCAGCGTTGCCGGACGCGTCTCTGCCCTTGCCCCCTTCGGCCACCAGGCTGCTAAAGCAGTGGCCGAAATCCTTGGGGCAGTCAAGTGGGCGATTATGCACCCGCTCGCCTGGCTGTACGAAGCCTTGCAGCCGGCAGAGGCTTTGGAATGGTAACGACATATTTTGCCCACCTACGCCTGCCTGGCACCGAATGCAATCTGTCATCGCGCCAACATCGCAGAGCGGATTTCGCTCGGAAAACAATCAGACGGGCCCGAATTGTCCCGGAGTTTTCTGGTCTGGATTTCGAGGTGAATTTCTTGCGGATTTTGGGGGCCAGGAATGAGGACCAAAAAAGATCCACGCGAAACTCACTTCGTTTTTCGCGCGCCGCTTCGGGCAAACATCCACGCAGAAATCCACGCAGAAATCCGCTGCAGCACGTCTGCAAGGCCGGTGCAATGACAATCTGTGCATGCGGCTTCGGGCGCGTTGTCTTCGGAGCTTGTCGGGCCCGACGTGCGCGGGGTCCGCGGCCGCGAGCTGCTGCTTGCCTGCGTCGACGGGCTGCCTCCGCGCTTCCGCTCTTGGCCAGATATTGGGTTTTGTAACGGGACGCACTTGCGCTTCTACTCGCTCCTCCTCCCTCCTCCTCCTCCTCCTCCTCCTCCTCCTCCTCCTCCTCCTCCTCCTCCTCCTCCCACCCTCCTCCTCCTCCTCCTCCTCCTCCTCCTCCTCCTCCTCCTCCTCCTCCTCCTCGGCGTCTTCCTCCTCCTCCTCCTCCTTCTCCGTCTCCTCCTCCTTCTCCGTCTCCTCCTCCTCCTCCTCTCATCATCATCCTCCTCCTCCTCCGTCTCCTCCTCCTCCTCCTCCTCCTCCTCCTCCTCTTTCTCCTCTCCCCCCTCCCCCTCCCCCTCCTCCTCTCCTCCTCCTCCTCCCCTCCTCCTCCTCCTCCTCCTCTCCTCCCTCTCCTCCTCCTCCCTCCTCCCCTCCTCCTCCTCCTCCTCCTCCTCCTCCTCCTCCTCCTCCTCCTACTCCTCCTCTCCTCCTCCTCCGTCTCCTCCTCTCCTTCTCCTCCTTCTCATCCCCCTCCTCCTCCTCCTCCTCCTCCTCCTCCTCCCTCCTCCTCCTCCTCCCTCCTCCT